GAGGGGGGGGGCTCGGTGTAAAAATTTCAGCCGCTCTCAAGATGTTGGCGGGCATGGATAGAAGGCGCTGACGGGAAACGGGAGCATTCCCCGCGCACCGGGAAGTTCAAAAGCGCCCCGCTGGAGGGGTGCAATAGGATAGGAGGGTGATTTGGGACCGTAATCGATTTCAGGACCGGACGTGTGCTTGCGTATCATCCACCCCTCCCCGAACTAAGTGGCCTCTCATAACGTGAGTGGCCGCAGTTTCGAATATGCAGCCCAGGATTCATTTTTCCAGGTGCGTGAAGTTATATCGCTAATCACCATCTCCGGAGAGATATCGCCACCATAGCGCTGTTTACAGAGCCACCGACGTTCATGTGATTCCGCATGGCGATGAGGCTCGTGCGTCTCCCTCTGCCCGAAAGAATGTGACAAAGGACAAGAGGAGAAGCATTCTGGGTATACTGAGACCAGCTTAACACTTAGATGAGTTCCCTTGTACGGTCCGACTTTTCAAAGCGCGGGCAGCACGGGCGTTTGCGAGGGGGGGGGGGCGACCGAGGGTACCTCAGTAAATGAGCGTACACTGGTTGGAGGTCTCGTTGGTGATTGGAACAAATTTTCTGAATTTCGTATTAGAAAGTTCTTTTCTGTGGAGTTTGGGCGAAAATATGGTCCATTTTATGCAGAAAATATGTGTTTGGACTGTGATTGGAAAGTGATTATAGCCGTCACGAGCCTGCCAAGTTCAGCCGATGCAAGCTCTTATAGCGCCTGATGGGTAGGCAAAATCATGCCTGAAGAGCAAGCGTGTGCTGCGGGGTGGCCTACCCCGAGTCTCGCAGGCGCTGAGCTCCTGTCATTTGCAGAACGAATGTAAGAGCAACGACGTCCCTATTTGTAGGGACAGTATTGTGGTCGGATATTCATCGTCCGGAGTCAGCTTAATACGACCACACAAGAGAAGATCTCTTTTCGGGTAAAATGAAATGCGAAGCCCTCAGGCTCAGGGTTGTAAGCAGAAGCCAAAGAACGGGTTCTGCATGAAGGGGAACGTCCCTGTTTGTCACTTCAACTCAGAAGTCGTCCTGCCGTGGGATGAGGAAAGTACTCTCGCATTTTTATTTTATTTTTTGTCTGGGTTGGGGGAGGGGGCGTGAGCAGTATGATGCCGGACTTATTTCTACAGTCGGTTCGGTTGAAGGTGACTGTCTGTGGCCGTGTCGGTCGTAGCTACAACGGTGACGCTACAACAGGGACGTCGTCTCTTTTTGTAGCTTCACAGTCGTAGCTACCATCGACACGACCACATGCAGCTTCATCCGAACCGCTCGGCCTCCGCTCGGCACAAGAAATGCTCAGGCCGGAGATTCGAACCGCTGACCTTCGAGTCTCAAGTGTTGCACTAAACGGGAGCGGCTACGTCGCCGTGCGGACTTCGTCTTTTGTCTGGAGTCGGTTCGTGTGGAGCTGCCTATGGCCGCTTCGGTTGTAGCTACAAGAAGGAGTGATTAGCCCCCCCCCCCCCAATGCCGCATATACGTTTAACTTCGTATTGGGTTATTTGGCGTTTAACTTAAAAAGGAATCGCAGGTAATGATCGCTGAACTGCACACTTAGGTTGTTATGTCCAGGAAAGTTTATTTAAACACAATTAGTACATAAACTGGCTCAGTGAACAAATTTACTGGGGAAGAGCTATTTCCTTTCTATAGAAATAGCACCTTCTTTCAATATGACAATGTAAATAGTCTAAGGATATGTTTTCGAAGCCCTCACAAGCTTTTAAGTATGACACACTTACTTATGTGACTGATTTCATTCTTATGTCTGTTGCTCAATATCTCTTAACTAAAATTTAAACTACTGATGAGAAGATTAATGGAATTACATATTCATGTATCTGGTATGCAAGTGGGTTTTTGTGCGACACATCAAATATCACATCTATACCATTCTGGTACTGCAAAGACAAACACAAATATTGCTCATTACATATTTTCTTGCTAATTTATTAAAATTGGCCTCTCTTTATCCATTACTCCTTTCGAGCACGATAGTTGTATATTGCCATCAATTTAATTTGTGATTAGGTGTGGCAGCTACCAGCACCTTTTCAGGTACCCTCGCAATCCGGCAATGAACGTCCCCCGTTGTGACGGGAGAGGAGAAAAATTGGGCGTCAAAGTTCGTTTTTGCCCGAAGCCGTCGCACTTTGTGCGCTCTGGATGGGCCGCCAGCTCCACGCGGCTGCTTGGCGGGTTAGCCTACCCAGCGCGTGGCAGGCGATACCAACGTCGCCACGTGGGACGTTCATTGTGGGGACACCTTTGGCAGAGTACCGAGAAGCAAGGTTTTGTTTAAGTCAACCAGTAGAGTTGACAATTCATTACAGTTATTTATTCAACGTTTATAGCAATCTTCTTTGTCATTATTTACATAAAATTTCCCACCTGATACAATTCTT